CAGAGAGAGGGAGGGAGAGGCAGAGGGAGGGAATGGGCGCAGAGAAGGCGGCTGCTGGAGGGGCACCTGCTGACCTCAGGGCAGGACAGACGATCAACGGGCCTGCTGCTCAGCTCTCCTCCTTTGATCTCCTTTTACAAAAGAAATTCCAGTCCCCCCACCCCACTCTGTCCTCTTTGATCCCTGAACTGCTGATGAGAACTAGGAGGCCCAATTATGCCTGCCAGGACACCCCCGGGCGGCTCCTCCTGGACGCCTCGCGTCTCGGGTGGACAGGTGACCAGTGTGGATGGACCAGGGTGGGGCCTGGACTTGGGCCTCCGGGTCCCCCTAAGGCTGGTCTGTGTCCACTCTGAGCTTTGTGCAGGGAGGCGGGGTCTCTGCAGCCCGCCCCTCGGTCCAGGCTGTGTCCTGCTCCGCATAACACAGCTTGGTATTGCTCCCACTCGGGCACCACCAGCCTCCACTGGGGGGCTCTGGACCTTCGCAGTGGTCAGCGGCTGCGTGGAACACTCTGGGCCTGAGGAGTCCATTCCTGAGCCAGAAACCTGGAGAAAGTCTCAGGCCCACGGCTCAGTACTTTGCACCTCAGAAAATCTCACGACAGCAAGAAGCTCCTGGTGGTGCAACCGATTAAGTGCTTGGCTGCTAACCAAAAAGTTGGAGGTTTGAGTCCACCCAGCGGCACCTCAGAAGAAAGGCCTGGTGGCCTACTTCCAAAAGTTCAGTCATGGAGAACACTATAGAGCGTAGTTCTGCTCTGATACACAGGGGGTTGCCAAGAGTCAAGGTCAACTCAAGGGTAACTGGTTTTTTGGCCTGGAAGGGGGCTTGGAGAGCCACATCAGGGCAGAATGGAGCCAGGCAGACCCCACGGTCCCGCACCAGGAGCTGCTGGGCACTGGCACAATGTGATTGCAGCTGCCCCTTGTGTCCAGCGTCCCTCAGCTCAGAGCCTGTCACAGGCCAGGTGAGCGTCTGATGGGCCCCGCTCAGCCATCTGTATTGGGGGCCACCTGTGTCCCCCCAGGTTGTGTGCACAGCCTGTTATGTGGCAGCCTGGCCTCCAGGGGTGCTGCGACTTTCACCGTGGGACGCCCCTGCGGGATTTACTGCCCCCCCCAGGCACTACTTGCAGGAGGAAGACACGGGGACACGGTGTGCTGCCGGGAAAGGGGCCGCTGAGGACTAAAAGCTGTGTGCCCAGAGAGCAAGAAGGCAGAAACGATGCTGTAGACTGGACACTGACTCGGAAGTGTTGCATGGGGGCGGCATGTGCTGTTGGAGATGGGGACAAGCAGGCTACGCCTGATTTAGGGTGGCTGGGGGCTGGAGGAGGGGAAGGGTGCAGGGTCCTGGAGGTGATGCAGTGCTTGGAGGCGGCGTACCTCAGAGCGGGGAGGGGGAAGGGGTTCCTGCTAGGGGACCTGGAAGCAAAGCCCTCTGGGAAGAACCTTGGTGACCTCCACAGCCCCCAGGAAAACAAGCTCCCAGCAGGAGCAAATGTCAGATGCCCCTGAAGTTCAGGGACGCAGGTCCGTATCTCTACCCCAAAACACATCCTAAGGTGGTCCGGGGATCCTTTTAGGACCGAGATGGCAGGCCTGGCCCTCGGCCTCACCTTCCCTCTGCTTTCCTGCCAGAACTGCAGACGGTGTCAGGTGGGGGAGAATGACAGCACCAGTGTCCCGCAGCTGCATTCATTCGTCCAGCCGGAGGGAGGGGAGCCCTGAGCGTGGCCTCTGTTCTCCAGGCGCGGTTCTTGATCGGCAGACGTTGCCTCCCGGTCTCATCCGGAATGTCTGCGCTGGCAGTTCCCAGTGCTCCTGGCAGCAGACTTGTTTTGGGGGAAGGCCCTGCCCGCCCACTCACGGTGAGCTGACCCCAGGTGGTTCGGGTGCTCTTCCTCTGGTTTCTGCCGCCCTGGGGCCGGGCTCTGACAAGCCCCACCAGAGATTCTGTGCAGGTTAGAGGCTGGGCGCCATCCAGTGCGTACAACCACGAGGCTTCTGCAAAAGGCCTGTGAGCTAGAAGGAAACAGCAGCAGGAAGTGGGGTGTCAGGTGAAACCTCCTCCCAGAGGAGGCCAGGCCCAGGTGTGACCCGGGCAAGTCACAGCTCTGTCCTCGGGAAGGTAAGTGTGCACATGGGACCTGCTTCGTGGGGCTGCTTTGAGGGTCAGACGAGGACACACACCACATTCCCCCCACCCAGCCAGCTGGCCCAGCAGTGGGGCCATCACTGCCCACGTAGAGCCCCTGCGTCAGAGACAGGCATCACAGCAGCTCTGAGGACGCACCAAGGGGCTGTCTCCAACCTCCACCAGGATCCTTGGCTTCCAGACCAGGTGATGAGCAGTGATTCCAGCAGGGGCATTGCCTGGCAGGGTCTGCAGTCCTGTGGAGGGCAGGGTGGGTGGCAGGGTGCTGGCACTGACTTTCAGGAGGGGAGCAAATGGCCTGGAAACTCCCCTGACTCAGCACACACCTCTGCGCCGGCAGCTCCTGCCCACTCCTGCCTCCGCCTTTGGCTGAAGCACAGCACTGCCAGGTCCGGGAGCCCTTAGACAGCCTGGCCGTGGGCGAGGGCTCATTCCCCTGGACACACCCCGGAATCTCAGCCCCTGTCCTGTAGTGCACGTGGGAGAGGTGGGAAGGCGTGGGCGCTGCAGGGTGGAAGTCCGGGATCCCCCTCCCCGTCCGTGCCCCTTACGCTGCCACCATTCTGGAGCCCTTATAAGTCAGGGAACTCACAGAAGCACAAGATTAAAAATGCATCAAGCACCAAAGGGGGTGGCGTGAAGGAAGTGCTTCCCCCAGAGAACACCCCGGCCAGCAGCCTGTCTCCTCCAGAGGGAGCACGCGTGCAGCGCCTCCCCCGGTCCACGGAGAGCGCAGCCGCTCACTGTCTGCACCGCCTCTTCCCACCCAACAGCATCTTCTGGGGGTCGTCTTCACAGCTGCGCACACACACCACCTCCTTCTGTGACAGCTCCAGGCCGCTGAACTCGGGGTAACCTGCTATGGGGGTGGTACTGTTCTGTTTGAAATTACTGTGTTCTGTGAGGTGTCAGAGGAGACCTGGTGGCACAGCGGTTAAAGCGCTTGGCTGCGAACTGAAAGATCGGTGGTTTGAACCCACAAGCCGCTCCACAGGAGAAAGATGTGGCAGCCTCGGAAACCCTGTGGGGCGGTTCTTCCCTGTCCTAGGTTCTTCCCTGTCCTATAGGGTCGCTGTGAGTCGGGATCGACTCAGTGGTGGTCGGTTTCTTGGGTTTATGTCATACAAATAAACACAAGTTCTATTTTTTACATGTAACTTTTAATTGCGACATTCACATACCATGATATTTACCTTTTAAAGTGTGCCATTCGTGGTTCATGGTTTTAGTACATTCCATCACCACTAATTCCAGAACATTCTCATCACCCCAAACAGAAACCTGTGCCCATGAGCAGTCATTCCCTCCTTCCCCTCCCCATAGCCGATGGAAAACACACATCTGCTTTCTGTGTCTCTGTGGACTTACCTATTCTGGACATTTCATATAAATGCGATCATGCAGTCATTCTGTAACGGACTTATTTCACTCTGCACAATGGGGCTGCTGCCGGCAGGCATTGAGTGGGTGGGGGCCAGGGATGCTGCTGAACCCTGGTGTCCAGGACAGCCTGCTGAGGGTCCTCCAGCCCACAGTCAGTGACCCTGGGGTGGAAAGCCCTGCTGGACCTCACACTTCACCACCTGCTCTTTCCCGGAGTGATGTTTTCATGAACCTCTTCCCAGGAAGCCCACCATCCCCACACAGCCTGTTGTAAAGGTCAACGACTCCAGGCTGAGGGAGGCTTCCCAGCACGTCCCTGTTACTCTCAGGCCTCTCAGGCCGACGCCTGTCTCCCAGCATGAGATGAGTTCCCTAAGAACAGGTATACCATGGCTGCTCTGAGCTAGAACCCCGGGGGCTCCCTGTTCCCCATGGGGTGAAGTCCAACCCAGCCTAGTGGAAAGCCCTCTGGTTGACCTCACCTGCCCCCCACCTCCCGCCCCCGCTGCCTGCTGCAGGAGCTTCCGGGCCACACCTTTGCATAAGCCACCCAGTCCTTACCCAGCTCCCCTCCACTGCCAACACAGGACCCAGGGGCTCAAGGCCTGGCTGCAGTCTCGGGTTTCCAGGGTCCCTCCCCGGTAGGCCCGACCCTCTCAGAACCCTGGCCCAGTCTCCAGGCCCGTCCCCCCTCACCCCCCACCCTCCTGGGCAGAGCAGGGTTGGAGGAGGGTGCGAGACAGGGGACTGCTGTGCTCTTGGCCGGAGCCCAGAACTTCTCCAACCTGAGACTTTTGCACGACAAACGTCCCGGGGACGGGGTGGGCCCGAGTCCCCACGCGGAAGGAGGCTGATGGAGGCCCGACGCGCCGGCGAGAAGCTGTGCCATCGCCCCTTTAAGAAGGGGTCCCGCGCACCCTCCCCCGCCGGCGCGGAGCCCCCAGGGGCCGGGAGTGGGGAAGACGCAGCGCAGCTGTTACCCTTGGCCAAAGCGCGAGGGCGGGCTGGGGGCTGCGGGGCGGGGTTTTGAGGCGGGCGCAGCGGCGGGGGCG